TATTAAATTTAATTGAAGAGTACTAAAAAATTATAGAATTTAAGAATAATATTAAAAATTGTAATTTTAGATATCCTATTTATTCTATTAAATTAAAAAAGATTCATAGGATATAAATTAGAATTTATAATAAAATTATTATAAAAAAGAAATTATCAATATCTCTTTGGTTTTAAATCAGTAAAACTTTCTGATATTGGAAATGCAATATCATCTTCAATATCATATTAATTATGAGTCATTCTTGGTCTCACAATAAGATATGATTATTATTAAATATTCAAAGGAAGACTTATATTATAATTATAATATTTTATACTTTTCAAAGATTTCTTAAGAATGATGAGATTAAATTAATGCATCATCTTCTCCATGAATTAAAACAATAGGACATTTAATTTATTGAGATCTTTCTAAATTTCTGAAAAAATGAGGTAAACAACATAATATGTTTAATATACAACCACATCCAAAACAAAAGTCATCTATAATATATCTAATTGATTTATAAGCAGACATAGATATTAATCCTTTAATATTTCTTTGACTAGCTAAATAAAATGAAGGTCCTGTTCCAATAGATCTTCAATATTAATTAAGAATACCTTCCAAAAATGTAGATTTAATCATCATTTAATTTGAATTCATTTTTAATTTCATCATATAAAGCTAATGAATCTTATTCAATTAAAATAGAAGTGGGTTAGACATTTCTATATATGCCATAGCCAGGATATTCAATAACAAACATATTAGCATTTATGGTTTTCATTAATGATTCCATAAATTATACAGCTGCATACCTATACCTATTACATATTAACTTACATATCTTCTGCATTACCATGAAAATATATTATATATAAATTGGTTTCCCAATATTTATTTTTGAGATAGACATAGGGAATGCTTCTGACTTTTTCAAGATTTTATGAATAATCATTTGGCTTACCATTAACTATGTTTATTTTAGTTTTACCCAAATTACCATCTTTATTGTAAATACTTGCATAATATAAGTTGTCTTAAAAATCAAATTCTTGATACTTAGGAGTAGGAGCAGGAAATATGATATTGTTTATCTTTCCAAAACAGTGTATGATAAACAAAATAAACAAGTATATCCCAATAAAGATACTGAACACAACAATAAGTGCAATATGAGAAGATTCTTAATCACTCATTTATTAGATAAATATATATATAAATATAATTATTACAAGTAGCTTAATAAATAAAGAGAAATGAAAAACTCTATTAGTATTTAAAATGTTTAAATATTTAATCATTTTGATTTTCTATTTATTTTTTATTTGTTAATTAGATTGCAACTAATCAAAATATTCATTATAATCTACAGGAATAAATTAAATTTATTATTTTTTTTTTAAACTTTCCTAAAATAAATCAAAATTCAAAAGATCTTGTAAGTGCTTTATTTTTTTATGTTGAGGGTCTATAACCTGATAAATTATAAAAATATTGTTTAGTTTAACTCCAATCCTTATCATATTATTATTTTGAATATTATGATTTTTTTGTAGTGATATGTCTAAATAATATTAAATTCTCTTTTCTTATTTACTCTAATTCATTTCTTTTTCTTGAATTTAAACTACTTACTCTTTTTGGTTTATCAAATTTAATGTTTGTACTATTCATAATATTTGTTATCTTCTCTAATAATAATCTGTTGTCTTTCTCTATTTGAGTATATCTATCCTCTAAAATCTACACTTTCTTCATATTTGGTATCCTTTCAACAGTTTTAGGTATAGTTATAAATGGTCCTATTTACTAAAGTCTACTGTATCCATCAAGCATTTCCTTCTCTTACATTACTCTTATATGAGGTTTAGGTCTGTGCATAGACTAATACAATATGATAGTAGTTATTGTTTATTTATATAATTTTATAAATATAAATAGCTTTACTATTATACTCATTTTTTTTTTAATAATGCAACTTCTAATTCCTCTGTCAATAATTATTATTCTTAAAATGAATCATAAAGTTTTGACTTTATGACTGGATTAAACTTTTAATAATGTTTTAAGATAAAATTAATAAAGAATTGTTAAACTTGTTTAGGAAATTAAGGGAATATCTAAATTATATAGATTTATTTTCTTACTTTTTAACAATCGAAAATTAACATTTAAACTGCTGTAATATTAACATTTTAAATTATACCAACAATATCTCTGAAAAATAGTTTAAAAATAGCAGAAGAAGGGTATCTAATTTTAGCAAAGCCTGAAAACATTTGTAATTTCATAAGGTGATTAAATTAATCATATCTCTCAATGAATTATTATTCAAAGAGTTTAAAAATCTCAAATGTTCCATGTCCAAATTATTTATATAACATAAATAAGGTTGTAATATTTTAAGGTTCTGTTGTTGGGATATTCTTTATAGCTTATTCTTCCAATAATTTCCAAAATTCAGGTGATCCATTACCAAATAATGCTATTCCTGTGCCAACTCTATATTTAAAATATAAGAATTATATATATATACCTAATTAAATCTTAAATTTCCATCTCAGTTACTAAACTCTGTTTTTCTAATAAATCATATATATCCTTTCTTTGTATTCTAGCAAGTATTAAACCAAAAGAGAAATGTTTAAGATCACTTGACTTAAAATGATCTATTTATTATTTGAAATTTAAAATTAAAGATTGCTCTACTTCTTTATTAGTTGATTTTGTATTTTATGAAATTTATCCATAGATAAACATAGCTAATCCAATTTATGATGCATTTAAATCAGGAGCTTATGATACTGCTGCAACAAAATTGAATGATTATTAATAAAATTATTTTGAGTAATTTCCTGACACCAATAATGATAATATGTCTAATGTTTCTGTCAAAGAGGCATGTCTAGTTTATTTATATTATTAATAATATTACTATTCTAAATATAATTAGGTTGTTCTATCAAATACTTTTTATGCATAATTTTCATCATTTATTTATTAAGCAAAGCTAATGGATACCAATTCTCTAATTTCTTAATTTTCAAATTAAGGCAAATATGGCTTTATTTGTTATATTAAACTTGAAATCTCTTTCAAATTAAATTAATCATTTACATTTATGATCTATTTATTTTCCTTTATGTAATTAGTTAAGTTAATTTAAAATTTCCCTATAATCATTTGCTTATGTGGTTTGAGAAAATTAATAATTTGGAATTCTCATCTAATGAATGAATTTTTAGGATGTACTCAAAGTGAAAAAAAATCTAAGGTATTACCTTCTCATATTAAATTTATTAGAAAATAAATGAATTAATTATAATTATCATAAGCATAGTCACCAAGAGAAAGTAATTTTGATTATGATGAATAACCTCAAACATAATCTAATTAATTAATTGAGAATAGAGCAGCACTATCAATTATCACTAATGTATTCAAATTCATATAAAGAATTTAGATATAAATTTTAGTAGCTATATTTTAAATATTGTTAATACTTTTTAATTCATATATCGCCTTTGATTTAAGCTATAAGATATCCCTTCTATATATAACAATTTTACATTTCCTATAAATCATTAGGATTGGAGTTAATAATAATAAGTAAAATTTTAACAAATGAAATTTGTTTAGAAAAATATAAAATAATCAATATTGTTGCGTTTAGATATTTTGGGGAGTTCTCTCCATTTCATATTATGTACTAAATTCTATAAACTTTTAAGGGATGCTTAATTTATTTCTTAGAAAATAAAGATTTTCCAATTCAGTATCCAATATTAATGTATTTGATTTTTACTCTTACTTGGTTTGTTATGACATTAAATAATTATTTAAAAAATAAAAACGATAAAAGCTTTATATTAATAGTAACATTTTAGAATTAATATTAGTTGACAGTTTTATTTAGATTATTTTTTGTTCTTTAATTAATGATGATTAATTTAAAATAAATTTAATGGATAGATTGGGAATGGATTTATATATTTACAATACTTTGGATGTTCTTATCTATAATTTGCATATTTTAAACTATTTTTTTGTTTGATTTCATTTGTAAAGCAGCATCATTCTTGCAAGAAAGAGATCCAATTAATAGAGAAGCATTTAATCAGTAGAGTATACATATTGAGTAGGTTTAGTTATAGGATCATTATGGATTAATTTACTAATCTTATGCATCTCAGGACTTCCCACTTTTAGTATGATTTGCTATACAATTAAATTATCAACTGGATAAAATAGTTATAATGCACTTTCTATAACTTTATCTGTTATATATTCATTAGTTTTTATTGTCTATACATTGTATTATCGAATGTCATTAAGGTTTTAAATAATATTTATTATTAAAGTTAATTTGTATCTCAAATACAACAATCAAGAGTAGCAGAAAACAATATAGATATTAATACTGATAATTAATAAAGATATCAATTGAATTCTCCAAGTTCAAAACATAAACATCATTTAATAAAAAGTAAAGAATAAATCTTAACTTAATTACCTTAATATTTGGTATTTAATTTATTTTTAAGATTAGATTAGATTATCCCAAACTTACTTTTTACCAGCAAATGATAATGATATTGCATCATAAGCAAAAAAACCATAATAATTTTAATTTGAATAATAACATATTAAAAGGAATAAAACTGATCAAGACTAACCAAAATTTAGTAATCGTAATTCTCTTACTGAAATTAATTCTGATAAAGATACATAATGCTTTAATTGTTATTAAAATGAAAGTTGTGCAGTTTATATGCCTTGTGGACATGGTGGATTATGTATTAAATGTGCCACAGAATGGTTCAATGAAAAATAAGAGTGTTTAATTTGTAGAAAGGTAATTAATTTTATTCTTAATTTTTATTTAGCCTGTTGAATCTGTTGTACAAATTTCTTAGTCTGAATAAAATAAAGTATAAGTGATAGATGTTTTAGCATTTTGAAAATTCTTTTATTATTTCTATCGATAATTCATTTATTAATATCTTTTTATTATGAAATCAAAAATATTGAACACTGGCTCTATTCCAGAAAAAAAGCCAACCGTTTATTTAAATGACGGACAAGGAAGAGACACCTATATTTCTTTTAACAATGGAGGAAATTTTGCTTAAGAGTTTAGATTCTTAGTATCACCTTAATAACCAACATCTTTAAGATTAAAATTCAATTATAGTGTATAATAATAGTATTCAACACCAAGAATTAATTATTAAGGTGATGGAACAGGTAGAGATACCTATATTTTGTAATATTAAATGTCTTATAATTAAATAGATAAAATATAAAAGATAAATACAGTTCAGGATAAGCAAATTATAAATCTATGCTTCGAAGTGAGACTAATTTTGGTTCATTTCAAAAGAATAGATTATAATTACCACCACTTGCAAAATAAAAATTAAATATGATCTATTAATTATAGAAAGTCCAATCTAGTAGATTGTCAATGCCAAAAAATAAACTATTATATAATGAAGAGTGATTCTCTAAATATTTTTTTACAGATATAAATAAATTAATTGAATATATAAGCATTCAAATAATTTATTATTTATCTATATAAATTACTTAACATATATAGAAATTTATAATAATCTAATGAGTTTTTTTCTAAAAGTTAGAAAAATATTCTTTTTATTAAAGTAGAAATCTATTTTTTTCCTAATTTATTTCATTATAAATGTTAAATTAGTATTAATATTATAATTAATAACATAATTCAAATTTATGGCATACATAGTGAGGACATTTATCTACAGATATTTTAAAAATTATCTTTGCTCAGTTACTGGATTATTTTTTATATGCCTTTACATTTTTGCATTAGTTTTCCCATTTTTATTTGCAATCAGCACTGGAGGTAATCATATTTAATAAGAAAGAATTTTGGCAGAAAGTTAAAGTAGCATCTGAATAAACTTACATCTCATTAAATGGTAATTATAGTATTTAATGTCATTCTGGGTTTTTAAATGAAACATCATCAAATATCATTAGTGTTACAGATCAAGATTATATTGATTTTTAATATATAAATGAAGATCAAAATTTAGATGGCAAGACTGATTTTATCTCATTTTAAATTAATTTCATGCCTTCATTTATTGCTGAACAGTGTACATTAATATTATTTTCAAATGTTGGAATCAGAGTAATATAATCAAAATAAGTAGAATACTTTGAAGCTCTAGATGATTACACCTTTAGTATTTTCTTTTAATGAAGATTTTGAGAATTATGCTATCCATCTTTTTGGCCAACTCTAATTTTAGTAAAAGTAAACTTTACCTTAATTAACTTCAACAAAATTAACTTATTATAATGAAGAAACAAACTATGAATATCCTTTCAATTTATTTGATTTTAAATTATAATAGCTGTCCTAAAATGAAACAGTTATACCAATATTTGAATCATTTAAATAGAGAAAAGCTGTATCTAAATAAGTTTAAATAACTGGACAATTCAAGATTTAGTCTTTTTAGCAGTTATATTATAAATCAACAGTAATTTAGAGTTTTAGAGAGGTTTGGATTCAATATATTTACATAGCCATACCAACTTTTTATTTAATTTCAAAATTAGGATCATTTGCTTTATAAAAGAAGATATTTTTTGCACATTAATAAGTATATAATGATTAGTATAATACGATATGATAATATTTATCTAAAAAATATCTTTATTATCAATTTTCACTTCAAAAATAACATTATATCTTTTCTATTATCCTTGTATTCAGAAATTTCATTTTAAATAATAGTTCTAGGATGAAGAAATGGATTATGTTAATACTTTCTCCTGTTGGATTCATATTATAATTCTTCATCATCATCATAATCTTATTCACTTATCTCTTCATCACTTAAATCATCCTCACTACTACTGTCTCTATCATCCATAAAATTGTCCCTATTATTTTTATACTATCTATTATCAAATTTATCCCATTAATTTCTACTATTATTATAATTCCTTTAGTCTTGATTTTTATTTTTATCTCTATGGTCTCTATTATAGATATTATCATTATAATTTTCATCATCCTAATTATCTCTATTAACTATATTATCTATTTTATCTCCATTATCTCTATTATCTCTATTATCCCTATTATTCCTATTATCTCTATTATTTCTAATATCTCTATTATCCCTATTATCTCTATTATTCCTATTATCCATATTATCTCTATTATTCCTATTATTCCTATTATCTCTATTATCTCCTTTATCCCTATTATTCCGATTATCTCTTTTATCTCTATTATTCCTATAATTTTTATAATCTCGATCATCCCTATTATCTCTTTTATCTCTATTATTCCTAGTATCTCTATTATTTTAATAATATCTTTTGTCTCTATTATTTTTATAATTTCTATCCTCCCTATTATTTTTATAATCTATGTTATCCCTATTAAGTCTATCATCTATATTCTCAAAATTGTTCTAATTAGTTGTTTCTCTTTCAAATTCATTAGAAATCTCATAATTTTTTTTTTTAAATTAACTTGAGTTATAGGAAACTTTTTCAGCATCATCTAATTAGTTAGTAAGGAATTTGGATTGATTTGCTTCATTTATACATGAAGGTGAGAAATTTTATTAAAATTAAATATTCTTCAAGTTGTTAAGATCATTTGTTTATGGTTGTTATTAGAAATCATCAAAGGTTTATTATTGTTAAATTTAATTCTATTTATATCCTGGTATACGTATTTCTTCAAAGCCTTCATCATCAGGTTCTGTATAATGATTAAATTTGTGAGAATAATTCATATATTCTTATTTTTCTAACTATTTTGAGTCATTTTACTAAAATTAAATTTACTGCTAATTTTCAAATAATTATACATTATTTTAATCATCACTTTATATTTGAATAAATTAATGTATTTAATTTTAATGATCTTATCTATAAATATCTATATGTTATCTAATATATTTATCTAAATAGTATGTAAAATCTCCTTCACTTTTATAATTTCTTTCATCTTCTATTTTCGCAAATTGATCATCTTCTATTTAGTACTAATCTTAATCATCATCCATTTACTACCAAACTTACTCATCATCTTATTGTTCTTCTTAATTGTTATCGTTTTCATATGAAACTTCATAAAGTTCTCTTAATTAAGGATTTTTATTTTGAGTTTTCTCATCATATAAACATCTTTAATATCCTGGACTTGCTATATCTTATTGAGTTGGATTAAAAGTGAGCTTTATTATAATTGATGGAATTTTTTTACTAATATTAACTTCAATAAGTCCTTCTTCAATAGGCTCGTAATGATAAAATTTCTCAATAGTTCTAATGCTAGTAATCTAGAAGGAATTATAAACCATTTAATACTTCATGAAGTTTGAGATATTTTTACTTCAATTATTTGGAAAGCAATATAGCCTTTGCAGAAGTATTATGATAAGCTAATAAAAGTATGGAAGTAAACTCTAAATTCATTTTGATTTCATACTTTGTTCTTGTAACATGTATTTAGCTTGATTAATTAATTTACTTATTCCATTTATTACAGGTATAACATTTTCGGCTAAATGAAGTTTAATAGTGCTTTTATGATATTTTAATTTTGTTGCCATTAAACTATTACAAATAATAATTAAAAATTAATAAAAGAATATATTATAAATCATTCTGATTATTTTTAAGTTGTTCTGTTCTTAAATGCACTATAACCAATACTATAAAATTGAGGAATTCAAATACAGAACTAAATAGATATTTATTTATAAATAATTATTAAGTTTATAAATTATAATATAATTTATTTTTAATGATGTCCAAATGCAAGTCTTGTAATGATGAAGGGTTTCTTACATGTCCTTTATGTCAGAAAACTACTTATTGTTCTAAAAAATGTAGAGATTATGATTGGTAAAGATATGAATCCTAATTAAGAGGGCTGTTTCTCATAAATTAGAATGCAAAGCAGAACTACCCAAGAGAAATGTATAAGACTTTGAAATAGTCAATTAAGGATCATTAGGAAGAGGAAGTTTTGGATGTGTGAAATTAGCTAGGGATAGATCAACAGGTTTATTGTATGCCATGAAAATAGTAAAATAATTAATTTATTTATAGATTGAAAAATCAGATGTATCAATAGAAAATTTAAGAAGAGAAATACGAATACAAAAAAAACTTTAACATCCTCATGTGATTTAGTTATTTGAATTTTTTGAAGATGAATAATACGTTTATTTAATTTTAGAGTATGCTGGTAATAGATTTCAATTAAATATAGAAAATGGTTCATTATTTGGTTATTTGAGAAAGAGAAAGATTTTACCTGAAAATGAAGCTTTTGTGTATTTCTTTTAAACATGTCTTGGAATAGATTATCTACATAAAAAATAAATTATACATAGAGACTTAAAACCTGAAAATCTACTACTTGATAAAGATGGAAATATAAAAATTTGTGATTTTGGATGGTCTGCAGAGATGATGATAACTTAAACAAGAAATACGTTTTGTGGGACTATAGATTATATGACTCCAGAAATGTTAGAATAAAAACCTCATGATTAAACTCTTGATATGTGGTGTTTGGGAGTACTACTTTATGAATTAACTCATGGTTAAGCTCCTTTTAAAGGAAGAAATGATTTTGAAAAATGTTAAAATATTTTAAAGTAAGAATAATTTGAAATTAAAGCAAGTGATTAAGTAAATAATTATTTTATAACTAATTTAGGCTAAAGATTTGATATTAGGACTTATGAAAAGAGATTCTAAAGATAGATTAACAATGGATTAAGTATTCAATCATCCTTGGATGTTGACTATGGCTAAAGGATATTAATTAGAAATTAAAGAATATATTTTTGAAGAAAAAAAGAATTTAGATTAATTAAGTAGTAGTTTAAGACTTGATACTAAATTTTCAAATACTAATACAACAACAACTAGATTGTCTGGTTCAAATAATAAATAAGAATGTGTTTCATTAGCATTTTCTATGTATTCTGATGAATTGTAGCCTCCTATATAAACTAGAATCACTAGAAGAACATAACATACTGTTAAGAAAGAAAGTGGCTTTTTTGAAACCATTTTTTAAAATCTAGGTTGCACTAAAAGAAGTTGATTAAAATATCATTTTTTTTAAAGCATTTATTTTTTGTACTATAGTAAGTTAATTTAATCAAATATTGTTATATAATATTTATTAGAAATTGTAATGATAGATTAGTAAACAATAACACTTGATTAAATATATGGATGCAATTTTAAAAGGGTGCCATTTCTTTATGGGGAGATGGAAGGAACAAATCCTATTCCAATTAATGAAGCAGATGAAGATTTAGATTCTGATAAATAATAATAATAAAACTAACATAAAATAATATCCCCAATATAATTAAAGACATAATTAAAACCTCTAATATAAACTAGAAAAAGAAGATAAACAGTTCATAAATCACCTGTTAATAAATCTCAATTTGAAAATCATATTGGATTTAGAAATTCATTTTATAAAAGCAATAATAAAGTGAATTTGGCATCAAGATAGAGGGTTGAAGAATTGAAGAATTAAGAGATTTTAATGTTTACAAAATATGTTTAAAGATTTTAATTGTAAAAGTAAGCACTTTGGAATTGACTTGAATAGCTGATTTATAGTTTGAAAAGACATCTAATTTTTGTAATTAAATTATTAATAATAATCATAAATTTAAAGATAACAACTTAAATTTATATATCTATTTCCTCTTATTATACTGCTAATATTTATCCTGCATTTTATTTTGATAAAATATTAGAATTATATAATGATGAATTATTGAAGAATCTTATAAAATAATATATAAAAATAATCATGGATTAAGAAATGTTTATCAAATAACCTTTGGATGACGATAAGAATGATCAATCTGAACAGTAAGGACATGTTTAAATTTTTATAGATAATCTTAGTTTATGTAAAATGAAGAATCACTTGAACATTTGGTCAACTCATTAATAAAAAATTAATAGCCAGATGAGGATGATTAATTTAAATAATAAAATGGAAAGCGCAGAATTAATGACTAAAGGTATTTTTATCAACAATATCAAATAATGCTATCAGATTTACATTCTAAGAAGATAAGCGTATCTTGGAATTAGTTTAATAGGTTGGTCCAAATTTTAACAAAATAGTCAAATAGTTTCCAGGAAAAACAATGAATATGATAAAAAACAGGTATTATAAAAAGCTGCGATACATTAAAGAAGATCTTCAAAATGATCAAGAATAAGTGAAAAAGCATTCTAAATCGAAAAAAGCTAATTGATTTTTTGATTTATTTATAGACTAACTATGCCACTTTTGTTTTGTTATGTAAAGGTCATGCTTTTAATAATATTTTATTCATATACAATATTTTATTATTTTTATTAATTAAAATATTTATATTATATAATTTTACTTCTATGCAATCATAAAAGAGAGGACAACAACATAAATAAGGATATTAAGCAGATTTAAATAAATATTTTGGAAAGAGATTAAAAATTAAGTTGAATGCAAAAAGAACAATCATTGGTACTGTTATTGGGTAAAATCATATACTTATTAAAATTTAGATTTGATATTTTCATGAATTTAGTGCTTGATCATTGTAAAGAATTGATTCCAGGATAAGGAGCAGAAAATAAAGATAATCTATATCCAGGCTTTTCAAATGTCACAGATTAACTAGTTGATATTGGTTAAGCAATAGTGAGAGGTAATTCAATAATTATGTGGGAATGTTTGGATAAAGTTAAAGACTGACTGAATATATTAACAATACAATAAATATGAATTAATAGATTGATTTATATGATCATCTCTTACATATCCTATAATTATGGAAATAAGGATTTATGAAAAAATTAAAATATTTCTAATCTTTCATTCTCATTAAATGATTATATTTGTTCTATTAAAAACCCTTTTAATTTAAAATATAAATAAATTATGGAAGAAATAAATGTAATAATTATAATTATCATGCATATCATACATTTGAAATTAATCTTTATATTACTATGATTTAATATATGATTCATTCATAACATTCCTAATTTAAAAAAAATTCAATAAAAAATAATAAATTAAATTAGAAATGTTATTTGTAATAATTAAGAATACCTTTTATTTCTATATTTTGATACACTCTTTATTTTCTTTGTTGAGCTTATTGATATGTTTAGACAATGATATAGATCACTTTGAAATTTAATGTCCAAGAGTAATTATATATTTTATGTTAGTTGAGCAATTAAATTAAAGAATTCATAGCAGGGATATTCAAACCATTTTTGCCGGAAGTTATTGAATTTTTAGTTGGAAAAATATTAATGCAAGATTTAAGGATAGTCAATGCTCTTATATTTTCAGGGATATTAGAAGTGGTCTTAGCAATATTAGGAGGATTGTAAGATAAAATTTAATTTAAGTTATTATGTAATGGTTGAAACACCAAAACCTATATAAAAGAGTTTGAGAATAATTGCAAAGTTGCTTTTCTTTTTAGGGTTAATATTTTGGATTTTCATTTATTGTAGTGGAATTGGGTTAAGAAAATTACTTGAAATAGTGCACATAGTTTATTAAAATCCATAGAATGTAGAAAATTATTCAAATGATTTATCAGAATTTATCTAAAAAAGACAAGAAGAAATCTTGGAGTATTATTTCTGATTGCATAATTATATTCTAAATTATATTATAAGCATAATTAAATAAGATTCTTGAACCCATTTTTATAAACCTTTTCATTATTATTACAGAAAGAAAATTGAAAAAGGTTAAGATGCTTATAAATAATTTTAATAATTCAATTAAATCTAAATTAAAAATAATTATTATCATTTACATAATTATAGGATGTATAATTTATCAAATGAATGTCCTTTATTATTTATAATCTGATATAGGATATATATATTAAAAATATTTATTTTGTAAAATTTAAGTATTTATTTGATATATTTTATATATAATTTATTAATGTATCTTCTTTCTAAATAAAGTAAAATGATTTTTATTGATATTATTACTATGAATGGCTTTTATTTTGAAATAGATTATTATTATTGTTTTTCTATAACAGAATTAGTTATATAATTATAAAAAAAAAATTATTCATTGTTGAATTTATAAGGATTCTAATAAATATTGATATATCTACAAAGGATTTTAAATTTTATATATTTATTATAACATTTTAATAATTCACATAAATTTAATTTTATATAATTTACATATATATGAATTAATTCAATTTTGTCTAATCTATTAATACTTAGTGTTTTAATATTATTTACCCTCACCTTCTAGATTAAATACATTGCTTAAATTGATGCTTTCATTAACTTCGCCTGGATTATAATTATCATTATTATCATTTTTTTTTTCTGGCTCTTCTTCAATAACAAAAAATTCCTTCTTTGTCATCGATGTATCCATTCTATTTTACAATTTTTCATCATCTTAAATTTACTCAGATTTAGGAACATCTTTGAAATTTTTGGAATTATTTTAATATTTAGGTTACTATTTTTGATTTCTTCTGCATAATCTATATACAATTAGCCCAATTATTATAATTCCAATAATTACTCCAAAAATTAGAATCCATTCAGTTGTAGAATCAAGTTGAACAAGTAATCTTGAAACCATTTACAATGAGTTTTTAATTTAAATAAACAATAAATATATATCTATAATGACTAACAATGTCATAATTATTACAATTATCTCCATTTGTGTATTATCCTATCCATAATCTTTTTCAAGTCATCCTTCTATTATTTTTCTTTAAATATTAACAAAAATTCGATTTCTATAATTTTAACAATATTTTTATGAATAATTTATTAATCTAATATCAATTCAATTGCTATTAGTGATAATTAGCTATAAACTATTGAAAATATTATTCTATTTTTCTACAACAGCTTTATTTTTAAATCATCAAAACTATCTCCAATAATTTTGATAATTTTATAAATTAAGTTATCCTCTTATTTATTCCTTTCTATATCACTCATTTCTCCATTAAATTTAGATGAATCTTTAAGAAATTAATCCTCACAATTAAAAAATATCTTATAATATTCTTATTAATTTCTTGTATAATTCTATATATTCCATTTAACACTTTTTTAATCAACAAATTCTCTCCAGAAACACATTTTACTTCAATTTATTAAACCAAGAGATAACTATAGGCCTATAAAAGTATTGATAATTAGATATGTATTTTTGAATAGATTGATCAACCCTAAATAGATCTAACTTTTTTTAATATAATTTAATTATTAAATAACAATAACAAAGGAGGAAATATACTATTCTATTTCATTTATTATAATAATATAAATTATGTACGAAATTTATAATACCATTTCATAGAAAATTACTCCTATAATTTAGGTTTCACATTTCGATGAATATATTTCCTTGAATTCATTTAAATCTTCATCTTAAAATAGTTCCACATATATATAGAAAGATATTTTCAGTTTTAATGAGATAAATAAATCTCACAATATTAATATGATAGATAATTTTAAGTATTTCAATTTCACTAACTATTTAATGGCTTATATATAGGCATCTCTTTCAAATAATGCTAAATCAAATTTCTTTATTTTTATTTTTCATTCCTTAAAATCAATTACCATAAGCACTAACTCCCAAAAAGTTTCTCTATTTAAACTAGTATTGACCAATCTACTCAATAATCCTTTTCAATTAATTCATAAAGAGTATATTATATTCTAATAATTTTATAATGTGTATATTATAATTACATTCTATTTATTGCTTGAACGTGGAATATACTTAATATGGTTATTACATTTAAATATAAATTTTCCATATATTTAACATTATCTATATCAGTTTTAATAAAATAATTCAAATAATTAGATCATTGAGTGATATTCCGTGTTTATTTATGACGGATTACATTTAATTTATAATGAGAGTATATAGTAAAGATAAGCATAAATATTTTTTGTATAATATTATGAACAATATCGATTAATTCTTCATTTCTCATATATAAAAGTTTGTTCCATCTTGGAGCCATCTTTAAAGTGATGATTTGAGAATTACAAAGACTATAGGAATAACAAATAAGACATATATTATTGAAGCAGATGCCACTCCAAACAAAATAATCTTTCGTCATTTTGGTGAGGTAGGAGTTGGATTATTTTTGAACAGAGAATAAGAATTACACATTGCAAGATAAGTTGCTAAATGTAAAATGGGTCCACATTTTTATGGTCATACTTCACATGTAACTACCAATTTAATAATAAAAGGTTCGTTTGGAAGAATACATTGAAAATGAGGTTATGAGTCAGGAATCAATGAAAGACCCTGATACTTACACTTTGGTTGCTTAGACCTTGTGTAAGTTTCATTAAATAGATATATCTAGTCAAATGAATGACAGAACACCCTTATTTGAAAAACATTTGGAAGAAAATTCAGATTTCTTATAGTAAGTAAGAGAGAAAGTTTATTCTAATTTATTCTCTGAAGATGAAAAATCTATTCTATCTAAAATGGCTCATTGGTTTTCTGAAGAAGAAGTGAAATTTTTACAATCTGTGTTACCAAAAGATGATATTGTATTTTCCCATAACGATCTATTAGCAAATAACATTTTATTGATTCCACCTGTAATAATCATTTCTTATCATCATTTAGAACTTTGATAAGGTTGTGTTTATCGATTTTGAGTATTCTTCCTATAATTTCAGAGGATTTGATATAGCTAATTATTTCAATGAATCATAATTTAGTTATCTAAACCCAAATCCACCTTACTTTTATATAGAAGAAGGAATGATTGATGAGGATATCTTAAAAGATTTTGTTTAAGTCTATATAGAAAAATCAGGATTGGATTTAGATTATCAAAATTTACTACATTAAGTATATATTGGATAGTTATTCTCACATTTCTTTTGGGCGTAAATAATTTATTTAATAATAATAGAGCATGGGGTATCATTATGGCTAAATCAAATGATATTGTTTTTGATTATCTAGCTTTTGTTGAAGTTAGATATCATAAATATTACTAACTAAAGAAACATCTTTTTGGAAAAAAATGATAACAATAATAAAGTTTTATAAATATATAAATTTAATGGTCTATTTAAACTTGTTCAATCAATACAATTGTTTAAGAAATTTTAATAAATTTAATTCTCATAATTTACATAAACTCATTATCAAAATTCATAAATTCCATTAGATTAGTTGACCTAAACTATCATTAAGTATGTAATTCAATTTTATATCATTAAATTAAATATGAGTAAAATTAAAGTGTTGAGTGTTACAGGTAATCCAGACTTAATACATTTCAGAACTCTTCAGAAAACTGAAAGAAAAAAGACTTATGAAATTTAAGAAATGCATGAAGTAAAAAACATTTTCCAATATAATATCAGTCAGAATATGATCATGAAATAAAAATTCTAAAAAGAGATGCTTCTTTGAGAATGTAACTAAAAAGATTGCAACCACTATCTAACCAAGAGCACTTTACAATTGATGACTCTTTCACTTCTAAAACTGTTAAAAGGTGGACATAATTTATAATAATTTAGGCCATTATTATTAATTCAAAATGGTACTCCTATAGTACATTCAAGTAGACGTACTAAATTTACTTAAAGTTTAATTAACTAAGCCTATGAATCATAATTATCTTTTTTTAATTCACGAAAGAATAGTAAATACTATAATATATTATTATAGCTTATGTATAAATGATATTATAAATTGATGAATAACTCTATCCAATAATAATTGAATTATATACAGAATATGCTCCTAAAGCATGTGATAATTTTGTAAAGTTTTGTGAGGGTGTTACCATAGATGGAAATTATTATACATATAAAAATACTAAGTTTTAGAAATTTAAACCAAATGGTAGAAACAATTATAACTCTAGGATTTTTATAAGGTGGATAATTTGCAAAAAAAGTATCTATATATGGAGATTACTTTGAAGATGAATCTTATGCTCTTTAGCATGATTGTGAAGGAATTATAGGATAAGTAAATGATGGATTTTAACATACAAATCATTCTTAATTTTACATTACATTAGCTCCTATGAGTTATTTTAATTTTAAAAGAGTGGCATTTGGAAAAGTTATAAGAGGAATGAAATAGTTTTAAAAAATGTTAAAAAAAGAATTCATTTCTCCTAATATTATTATTTAAGAATGTGGACGTTATGATCAATAAGCTTAGATTAGAATGAAATTAGAGAAATTTTCTGAAGATTTTGCAGGTGTATTACCTGAAAATGCTGAATCATTTAATAAGTTTATTGATGCTGAATAAGAGAAACATACTGATGCATAAGGAGATTTTACATAATTAATGAAATTTTTAGTTGAATAAATGAAATTGATTTCGAAATTTGCATATTCGTTAACTGCAATAAAGAAAGCAATACTATAATTAAATGAATAATTTAAAAAGAATTAATTATGTTTGATGTTATATATATTAGACAATTAATAAGTCTTATTAAGTGATAATTAATAGGGAAAGTATTTAGTAGTATTTAGAGCAATAGATGGTACTGATTCATGTAGAGCATCAGCATTTATTGTATTTAAAAAATAAACAACAATGTTCAAAAATGTGAATTTAAATGATCTTAAATAAAGTGGAGAACAAGTAATAGGAATATGTTATTGTATCTATGGAACAACAACTTAATTAGTTTTTGGAACTGGTTATAATTTGAGTATGTTCACACTTTAGAATAATGAATTCAAATTATAATAATAAGAGTATGTAGATGATATGATAATGATAGACTATAAATTCCAAAAATAGAAACATTTTATTGTACAGATATCAAAGATGATTTTTTATAATATAAAATCATATCTAGTTTACCAACAAAAAATATGAGGTACACAAATAGCATATTTACAACTTTACATCGTGTAGTAAGACTTGGAGGTCTGGCTATGTATAAAGATGTGACCATTTTCGAAGCATTGATTTGTGCATTCATTTTAGCAAGATCATGGGGTTGGTCATTTTGTGCAGGAACAAGTAAATAATCTATAAATAATGATTCTAGCTACTTTCAATTAAATAAAGGTCAAAAATGTTAACTAATTAACTTATCTTTATTTAGGTTAATAGAAATGGGTCTAGAAGATAGAAAATCATTTTTTATCTATAGTTTGAAATAATTCAAATAAATTGTCAAAAATGTATATATAAAGAATTATTTTACAACGTTAATTTTCTATATATTTCTTCAAACATTATTTAACAATTGACAATTCATTATGAACCTATAAATGAGGGAACAAATCAAACTTAATTTAAAAGCCTTTTTGAAATATCACTTCTGTTTTTATCATTAAAGATGATAATATTGTAATTATGAAAATCTGAATCTCTTCATTTAGATAATACATTTTTCTTATTTTTAATTTCTATAGCAAATAAAATTTAAACATTTTAGACTACTATAATATTGTTTAATTGAATATAAAACAAAGCTCATAATTATAAAAATTTATTATTATTTAACATTTGAACTGAGTTGAATTTTGTAATTAAGTTTAAAATTAAAAAAAATGGACTAAATATCAGATGAAGCAATCAATGCTATGCCAAAAAAACCATAAAATGCTTACATGTTATTCAGGGCAGATACTTATGATGATCTTAAGAAAAAGAACCAAGATAAAAGTATGACTGAATTAACTACAATGATATCATCTTTATGGGGAGAGATGGATGAAAAAAAGAAAGATGTAATCAATTTATTAAGAACCTTTATATTTAGAAATACAACAAAGATTATGACAAGGCTATGGAATAATATAAGACTGATTATGCTGGATGGTTGAAGAAGTTCAAATTAGATGAAGATAAAGTAAAGAAGTTTCTTAAGGACAATAAATAAGCTAAAAAGAAGAATAAGAAGGGTTCTAAGAAGGTTACAAAAGCTTCAAAGAATGAAGAAGAAAGTGATGATGAAGATGAACAGAAAATTTAGTCATTAAAAAATAAGAACTAAAAGAAATAATAAGAATAAAAAGATTAAATTGTATAAAAGAACACTAAGGATAATAAGGAATAATAGAAATAGAAGACTAATCCATAATAGAAGGAGAAGGAAAAGAAAGAAAACAAGAAAAAGTGATTAAATTATAATAAATTATTATTAAATAATTCCACTTTATGCTTTAAATACAATACCTTTGCCAAGACTCTAGTTTATCTTGTGGAAGAGGAATTTTTATAGGAATATATGCTGGATTAATTTTTGCCATTTCAATCTATTGTTTAATAAAGCTTTATGGATTTATGGGTAGAATTTCCTATGAAATGATTCCTTTAACAACATGTGCAATTCAATCTTCTTTGCATTTCATAAATGACATCTTTTTAGTTACAAACTCTTTATAAATTGTTATTATTTACTTTTGTTTACAAACTTTCATATTGATATCTCAAAGCTTTTTTCATTTATACTATAAAATGACGTACTCTAAAGAAGAATTTTAAGGATATAGATTGAAATAAAAGTATAGTTTAATAATATTTTACATAATTTTTACTGCAATAATCATATTCTATTTGATTTAAATAGATGATAATAATTGTTTGTTCTATTTTGATGTAGGATTAACTCTTTAATTTATAATTATATTATTTAGTGTGTTAATATCAATATTCTATGGTTAAAAATTAAAACAAGAGATGAATAAACATGAATAAACAAATGTGACAAAAATAGCAAATTATTAAACTACAGCTGTTTAGATAGTTTTGACAACTTCTGCAACTTTTGAATTTATTATGTCAATTTTATCACTTACTACATTCTAAGGATTGTTTTGTAATTTACCATTAACTGATATAAAAGATACAGGATTTACATCTGGAGAGAATGTATACTTGACATTCTTCTCCATGATAGAAATGACTCCTTGTATTTTAGTACCAATTATTTTTTTTTATATCCCATAAATAAAATAATAATAAAGTCAAACGAATGAGTTTAACTTAAATGAAACTTTTTTATTACAATCTGCAAGACAATCTTTGGATTTTAGTGGATTAATAAATATTTCTATTGAATTAAAATAATGAAATTATTTACATATTTAAATATTATAATAACAGATTTTGTGTATACAAAAGAAATTGGCGCAATATAAATATATAATTAATATAAAAATGCCTCCCAAAAACAATTAGAGTGGATTTATGTCTGTAGAATAGAGATCAGAAATAGGAGATTTCTCTAGACATACTCCAGCAAGATCTCTAGTATAACCTCGTAATAGATCAATTCTAGCAACAGCATCAAGGAGAACAGGAACATAATCTTAACATTCTCCTACAAGAATGACTGTTGAAACACATGAAGCAGTATATTGGGGAACAAATATTGATGAAAGAGCTATTGAAAAATAATTTGATAGATTTTTAAAAGAATTTAGATCTGGAGGAATGGAATATTATATGAGTCAATTGAATTAATTAAATGAAACAGATTAATTCATCTTAAATATTGATGGAAGACATTTATTAGAATTCAATAATCATTTGTATTAACAATTAATTCATTATCCAGCAGAAATAATTCCAATTTTTGATACTGTAGTATAAAAAGTGTTTTATGATGATTTTTTATCTTTAAAAGCAAGAAATGAATAAGAGAGAGAAGAATTTAGATTATATGCATAAAGATTATTAATAGGTATTATAAATCTGGAGAGAAATGTTTAAGTGAGAGAATTGAATCCAAAGGATATAAATAAATTAATAAGTGTAACAGGAATAGTAATTAGATGTAGTGAATTATATCCAGATATGAAATAAGCTACATTCAAATGCACTAAATGTGGTCATTAAGTAGGAGTAAATATTGAAAGAGGAAGAGTTGAAGAACCTATTAGTTGTTAAAGATGTAGAGACAAGAATTCCTATGAACTCATACATAATCTCTGTTAATTTACAGATAAATAATATGTTAAGTTGTAAGAATAACCTGAAAATGTACCANATGTCAATTTTATCACTTACTACATTCTAAGGATTGTTTTGTAATTTACCATTAACTGATATAAAAGATACAGGATTTACATCTGGAGAGAATGTATACTTGACATTCTTCTCCATGATAGAAATGACTCCTTGTATTTTAGTACCAATTATTTTTTTTTATATCCCATAAATAAAATAATAATAAAGTCAAACGAATGAGTTTAACTTAAATGAAACTTTTTTATTACAATCTGCAAGACAATCTTTGGATTTTAGTGGATTAATAAATATTTCTATTGAATTAAAATAATGAAATTATTTACATATTTAAATATTATAATAACAGATTTTGTGTATACAAAAGAAATTGGCGCAATATAAATATATAATTAATATAAAAATGCCTCCCAAAAACAATTAGAGTGGATTTATGTCTGTAGAATAGAGATCAGAAATAGGAGATTTCTCTAGACATACTCCAGCAAGATCTCTAGTATAACCTCGTAATAGATCAATTCTAGCAACAGCATCAAGGAGAACAGGAACATAATCTTAACATTCTCCTACAAGAATGACTGTTGAAACACATGAAGCAGTATATTGGGGAACAAATATTGATGAAAGAGCTATTGAAAAATAATTTGATAGATTTTTAAAAGAATTTAGATCTGGAGGAATGGAATATTATATGAGTCAATTGAATTAATTAAATGAAACAGATTAATTCATCTTAAATATTGATGGAAGACATTTATTAGAATTCAATAATCATTTGTATTAACAATTAATTCATTATCCAGCAGAAATAATTCCAATTTTTGATACTGTAGTATAAAAAGTGTTTTATGATGATTTTTTATCTTTAAAAGCAAGAAATGAATAAGAGAGAGAAGAATTTAGATTATATGCATAAAGATTATTAATAGGTATTATAAATCTGGAGAGAAATGTTTAAGTGAGAGAATTGAATCCAAAGGATATAAATAAATTAATAAGTGTAACAGGAATAGTAATTAGATGTAGTGAATTATATCCAGATATGAAATAAGCTACATTCAAATGCACTAAATGTGGTCATTAAGTAGGAGTAAATATTGAAAGAGGAAGAGTTGAAGAACCTATTAGTTGTTAAAGATGTAGAGACAAGAATTCCTATGAACTCATACATAATCTCTGTTAATTTACAGATAAATAATATGTTAAGTTGTAAGAATAACCTGAAAATGTACCAGAAGGTTATACACCATAAACTGTAAATTTAGTACCTTATGATTATAATGTGGATGATGTGAAACCAGGAGATAGAATTATTGTTGTAGGTGTTTATAGAGCCGCTCCTATTAGATAAACTAAAAATAGAAGAGTTTTAAAATCTATTTATAATACATTTATTGATGTTATATCATATCAAAAAGAAACTAAAATTGAATAAGAAAAAACTAAAAACATTACTGAAGAATAAAAATAAAAATTAATGTATCTTTCTTAATAACCAAATATTTATGATATACTAGTTAAATCTATTGCACCATCTATTTGGGAAATGGATGATGTTAAAAAAGGAGTACTTTGTTAATTATTTGGAGGAACTAATAAAGAATTTTCTTAAGCAGGTAAAGGTAGATTTAGAGCAGATATTAATGTTTTATTAGTTGGTGATCCATCAACAAGCAAATCTTAAATATTATAATGTGTTCATTAATTATCAAGTAGAGGAATTTATACATCAGGTAAAGGATCATCAGCAGTTGGTCTAACTGTTTATGTATCTAGAGATCCAGAAACAAGAGAGATCATCTTAGAATCTGGAGCATTAGTACTTAGTGATATGGGTATTTGTTGTATTGATGAATTTGATAAAATGGATGATAATGCTAAAACTATTTTACATGAAGCTATGGAATAATAAACTATTTCTGTAGCCAAGGCTGGTATAGTAAGTTAGTTAAATGCCAGAACTGCTGTTTTAGCTGCTGCTAATCCACTAAAATCTAGATATGATGTCAAATAATCAGTTGTTCAAAATATTAATATGCCACCAACTATTTTATCTAGATTTGATCTTATCTATCTAGTACTTGATGAATTCAATGAAAAAAGAGATGAAATGTTAGCATATCATATTTTAAATATGTATTCTCTTAAAGACAAGCAAGATTATTTAAATTAAATAGAAGAAGAAGGAAATACAGATATAATTGATAGAGAAACTTTGTATAGTTATATATGTTATGCAAAATAAAACATATTTCCAAGACTAACTGAAGATGCACAAAATGAATTGATTGCAGCTTATGTTAAAATGAGAAGTGCAGGAAATTCTTCTAATACTATAACTGCTACACCAAGATAATTAGAATCCTTAATTAGATTATCTGAAGCCTTGGCAAAAATGTAATTCAACTAAAGAGTTGAAAATTATCATGTTTAAGAGGCAGTTAAATTAATGGAAACTGCTATGAAAAAAGCAGCTCTTGATCCTATTACTGGTATATATTAAATTTTATTTCTAGGTAAAATTGATATGGATTTATTGGCAACTGGTAGATCCAATGCTTCAAGAGAATTAGTTTCTAAGTTTATTGTTGAAATCACTAATTTAATTAAAGCCAATTTATCTGATTACAGAGGATAAGGTGTCAGATTTTTTGATTTTGTAGAATAAGTATTTATATTTAATGAATTTTTAGATTAATACTCTAGTATCTGCCTAAACAAATGAATAAACTATAATTGATAAGAGACAGTATTAAAAAGAAATCTTAGAAGCTTTGCATTTACTTGAAGAATAAGGTTTTGTCTAATTACCAGGTGACAGAAATAAACCAAAAATAAAAGCTGGTATTAAAGCTCTTTAATGATTTATATTATGTAATTTTATATAATATTATATTTAATTAACAGATGGACTCCCCTTTGAAAGATATGACTGGAACGATTGTCAACAAGTATTATTCAAATTTAATTAGGCAATATAAACTCATTAAGAAATTAGGAGCAGGGGCTTTTGGTGAAATTTATTTATCTTAATCAAATGGATAAGAGTATGCTATTAAAATAGAGAAATCTGATTCAAAACACCCATAATTAGAATTCGAATCCAAGCTATATCACTATTTGAATAATCATAATGGATAAGGAATTCCTAAATATTATGGGTATCATTAGCAAGATGGTTATAATTTTCTCGTTATGGAATTACTTGGACAATCACTTGAGGATATTTTTTCTGAAAACAATCGCATATTTACTTTGTAAACAGTTTGTGTTTTGGGAATTCAAATGTTAGAATGTATAGAGTTTTTACATAGCAAATAATTCATTCATAGAGATATTAAACCAGATAATTTTTTAATGGGTAAGTCATAAAAAGATAGGGTATATATAGTAGACTATGGATTAGCTAAAAGGTACATTACAAAAGACCTTCATATTCCTTATAAAGATAATAAAGCATTAACTGGAACTGCCAGATATGCATCTATCAATACACATCTTGGAATAGAATAATCAAGAAGAGATGATTTAGAATCTTTGGCTTATGTTTTAATGTATTTTTTAAGAGGATCTCTCCCTTGGCAAAATCTAAGAGCAAATAATTAAAAAGAAAAATATGATAGAATTATGGAAAAAAAGTTAGCCACATCTTCAGAAACCTTATGTAAAAATTACCCTTAATAATTATTGTAATTTGTAGATTATACAAAAAATTTAAAATTTGATGAGAAACCAGATTATTAATTTATAAAAAATCTCTTTATTTAAATCATGTAAGAGAATGAATTAAGAATGGAATATATTTATGATTGGGATGATGAAGATACATAAAGAGATAAGATTTAAATAAGAAATGAAGATAAAACTAATTTACTAAAAACAAATAAATAAAGTAGCAATACATAATAAAGAATTAATAAACATTAGGAAAATAAAAATATAAATAGCAATAGTATATATATGAGAAATTGTAGTAATATTAATAATAAATACAGTATTGGTAGAACAAAAACCAATTCTATAGGATCAATAAATAAAATAATTGTCAATAAAACAAAATAAATTACTAATAATACAATTAATAGTTTGACAAATCAAAATACATAACCAAATAATAATATTAACAATAATAATAAATTACATTAAAACTTAGCAAAATAAATTATAAAGAAGCATTCTAGTTTACATTACTAATGATTAAATTAATTTAAATTATAATTGTCTTATATAAACGTTAGTTAAATAATTTAAAATGTTCTGATTTTCTCTCTATTATAATAATTTTCATGAAGTTAACAATAAATTAAATTAATTTTATTTCTAAATTAATCAAATTAACATAATCAACCCTATTGTGATTTAAATTATAAACAATAATAAAAATAGATAATTATTTAGAACAATAATACTAAAAAATACATTAAATTGTCTTTTATGCTTAAAATTATTATAAAATTTCAGGTTAATCCAGAAATGATTTTTAACTATTTTAAATCAATATACTAAATTCCTATTAGCCTTAGAAATTATTATATATAAATAAACTTTCAAGAACAGCTAAAATAAAACTATGCAAAATTAGTTAGAGCAACTAGATGTTCCAAGAGGATAATCTTTCACATTTGATTCTAATAGACCATTTATTTATTACTATTCTGTCGCCAAACCATTGCCTGATAATATTGTTGATGACTTAGTTGTTTGTTGTTAAATAAGAACCTGGCTAATAAAATAGTTACCAAAAGTTTGGTTTTTAATGGCTAGTACAACAGCTCACATTTTAATAGAGAAACAAACTAAGTTTGTGACTCAAAATTTTATTTTAGACATATTTATCTATAGTTGGTTATCAGAAGGGTTGACTAACTTGAAAAAAGAATTAATAAATAGATTAAGCAAATTGATAGTTGAAAATGAGAAATTAGAAAGACTAATTGATATATTTACATAAGAAATTGTCTAAATATAAGATGAGTTTTCAAAATTTCATAAATCTGAATACCTTCTCAATTATAATGATAGTTGTGTACAACCATTAATAGTATTTCGAGAAAAAGGAAAAAATGAGAACTAATCACTAATAAAAAGAATTGATGAATTAAATATTGATGACGATAGTAGAGATTCAACTTTATCATCTTCCTAAATTTCTTAAACCTTTACTAACAAAGACATTGATAGAAGTAAATCTGATGTTAGAGAAGTTACAGCAGCTCTTTAAAATAGTAAGATGAGAAAATTTACAAAGTAAATGGAAAAGATGACACAAAATGTTTTTTCAGAATTAATTAAATATAATTCGTAAGATCAATAATGGCAAATAGCTAGATAATTTGTTGTCATTATATTAGAAACTAGCGTTTAGTCTGATCATTATTTAAAAACTATGGAAAAAGTTAGATTTCTATAACCAGCTCTGCTTTTTTATAAAAAGGCACTGTAGGTTTGGATTCTGGCCAAGATTTCATCTTAATAATCCAATTAAACAACTAGAAATTTATAAGAAAATAAAGTAACAATAATATATTATTTTAGATGATCTTCAGTCAATTCTTATGCAAAGCTAAAAACTTTATGGGGAAATTTTGGAATGAAAAATTAGTTATCCCTCTACATACAGTATTTTAAATTGCAGAACAGACTTATCCTGAAGTGTAATCTGAAAAAGACGTTGTCGAAGTATATTAATTTAATATTATTTTAGTAAATGAAAAAGTTTTCTATTTTATTAAAGGAAAAACTTATAGCATTATGGGACCAAAATTTGGCTCAATGCACAAAATAGCTTATTTAATAACAATGATTTATAATTAAAATTTATTAAAAATCTACAATTTAGAATTTTTCAAATATCTTTATATACTAGTTCTCAGTTCTTTTCTGTTACACTTGACTATATATTCAGCATACCTGAATTCATTAATGTCATAGATAAATGAGCTTTATCCTTTCTAACTTATTTTAATTGAGATTATAGACTCTCAATCTTTACTTTTTGAGAATTAGTTTCATCCTTTAATTACATGATTTGACTTTCATATTCTTAAACCTATTTCTCATTTAAAAAAATTCCACTCATTTAAGATGACATTATTTATTATTTAATTTCTTTACCATTCTTTTTTAATTCATTAATAGTCTTTTCATGAATAAATATTAATTAATTTTTCTATTAAAGTTCTTCCTATAAACCTTATAATACATTTTCTAAATCTACAATTTATTGTTTATATTCATTTGTTTTTTGTATAAGATGTTTATTTAACTAATAAATAAATACAAATTATTACTTCTTTTTCTTTATCAAAATTATCACCTTTATTTCCTAATTTTAAATTTCCCAATTATTCAATATTATTTTTTAGTTCTTTAATTTAATTATTCAAATTGAATTCATTTTTTGCATATTAATCAACTTTTTTAGATAACTCTGCTATAGTTATTTTTTATTACTTTATTTAATTGAAATACGCTTCATTTTCTTTTTCATTATTATAACTAACATTAGATAACTTTTCTTAGAACTCGCTAAGTTAAGTTTTATACGTAAAATTAATTTCAATTACTTGATTTAGATTGTTAATAAGTTCATCTAATTTTTCTTTCTTTTCTTCTAATTATGTTCTAAGATCTTAATTTTAAGTTTTCAATTCATTATAATAATAATTTATATTCTAATTTTATGGCTAAATAGAACCCATTTCTTTTAATTTTTCATTAAGATATGCAATCTAATTTATATTTTCTCTATTCAAATTTTTAGCTTAAATTTCTAATTAAGATAATTAATCATTAAGCATTAATATTTTCTCTTATTACTTTTTGACTGTTTCTACTGCTGTTTTATATTCTTAACTTAAAACTTACACCTTTTATTCCAAAAATAATTGTTATTAATCTTTGGTTTATTATAAATTATTTTTTTCATTTTTTAACTTATAAATAATTTCATCATAATGATTTTGAATTTACTATTTCTCTTTTAAATTTTTTTAAACTATTTCATCTAATTTATCATTTAGTTCTTTAAGATGATTCTTCTTTACGTTTTCTATATCTTTAGAGTATTATTATTCAATTTTAATAATTTATTAACTTAGAATGATGTTATGTTATTTTAATTCATCAATTACTTAATCTTAAGAAATCATATCTTAAGTATGATTTTAAATCATATCTTTGATATTATGCTCATATTTTTCTAAAGCTTAGTTAAATTCATTCTACAATTTTTCTAATTCAAATTATTTATCAGATAATAATTCTTCCTTTACACTCAAATCCTATACTCTTTTTTCTAATTAATTTGAAAGCTCTTTTGTTTGAAATATAAGTGAATTTAACTATTCTTATTTATCATTGACATCCTTTTACAAAGAATTAATTTTATTGTTAAGTAATTTTGTAGCTTAATTCAATTCATTAGATTTTAAATTGTACTTTTGCTACCATTAACTTTCAATTTTTTATTTTTATTCATTTTCATTGTTCTTAATTTGTTAAATCTCTCTTTGGTGTGAAATTTACATATTTTAAATCTAATCATTATACTATTTTTATTGAATTATTTTATTTTATTCATTTGTAATTAATTGTTATTTTTATTCATCGTTTTGCTTAATAAGTTGGTCCAAATGTTTTTGTTGTTCAGTAATTTTATTGTTAGATTATGCTAAAGCTTTTTTTAACTAAATATTAAGAGTTTACATACTTCATTATTTGCTTGTATAAAGTATTCAAGTTATTCAGCTTATCTTAAGATATTAGTATTTTATTCTTTAGCTTTCTTAGTATCTTATTGCTTCAAAAAAGGTGCACAACGACTAGTAGGAGAAGAAAGAGTAGGTTAAACTACAAAATCAGGCTATGTTTGAAAGGGTTATACTTGACTCTAACCATTTATTGTAGGTTAATTTCTTCTAGGACTATTTTAATATTGCATTTAATCTAATTTGGCTATCAATCCTGATACATCCCTAGTATAATCAACAAGTTTTACTGTTAAAATTATTTCTAATCATTTATTAAGGATTGAAGTACTTGAGGCTATTTTATTGATTAGGGTGTAGGTGGGGGAATTGATGTGATTGTTGATGTGTCTAAAGTTAATTATTAAATTACTTTGAGGCAAAGGTTAGTATTACTAAATCATTGAACTTATATTAGATAATTTTTATCCAAGTTATTGATTTTACATTGACGATTAGCAGTTAATATAATTTTATAATAAATAATAATATATTTCAAAGAAGGAATTATTATAAATTAAAAGTGAATAATATCTAAATAGTTTAAGTAGATATTCATAACATCAATATAGATTGATCAACTATTTGGAGATTCATCTGCATTTAACCATTTAATTCTTTTACCATTTTCCCACTATCCTTCTTTTTTATCACCATTGGGTAAAGTGATCAACCCTTTTCCGTGTTATTTGCCGTTTAACCAATATCCCTCATACATTCTTCCATTTTCCCATTAAAAAATACCAAAACCATGCTTTTTATCATCCTTGTACTCTCCATCATATCGTTTACCATCTGCCCATTGAGTGATACCTTTTCCATTCATTTTACTATTATTCCATTAACCTTTGTATGATTTACCATCTTTCCAGTAATATTCTCCATATCCAGTGATGTCATTCTCAATGAAATCCCCTTTATAGAAACTACCATCAGCAAAAGTAAGAGTGCCTTAGCCATGTTTCTTTCCATTTTCATATCTACCCTAATAATATAATATTAATCATCTATATACTTCATATTTTGCTCCATCTGGCCATACTTCGACTCCTTGACCATGTTATAAATCGTTCTTCCAATCTCCTTCATATCGAGCTCCGCCTAATTTATTATCCAATTAAATAACCACTATGAATATAAATTCCACGACCGTTTGCCATATCATCCAACCATTAACCTTCATATATATCACCATCCACATGCACTGTAATATTATAATTTTAATCTACCTAATTTTCCAAATCCATTTGCCTTATCTTCAACCCATTCTCCTTCATAAAAACTTCTATCAGGCCAAACATATTTCCCTTAACCGTCTCTCAAACCATTTTTCCATTCCCCTTCATAAACTCCTCCATTTTTCATCTCTATTGCACTCAACTTTATCCTTGTTAGTTTTCCTTTTGTCGATTAAACTAATGACACATATCGATCTTCTGGTTTGTTATCATCTAGACTCCCATCATAATATTTTACCATTTTCTCTTTTCATTAGTTTTGGAGAAGAACTATCTTCTATGGAATTGTTTCTTGCTCCTGCCATTTAGGCAACGTCTTCATCCTTAAGATGAGCCATATTTTTTTCTTTCCCCTATTTATTATTACCCTTTTATACATCAACTTCCTAATGTTGACCCATATCTATTTTGGCATTAGGTTTTGATTAGCTTAACTGTTTTTGATTAGTATTGAGTTCAACTTCATCCATCCCTTTTGTTTAGCACTGACAAGAACAACTATTACCCATTTTAATAGAGTAGAAAATTTATTATATTATATTTATAAATTAATTAACTTAATCTTCTTTCGTTAAACTTTACTGCTATCATTCAGTATTACTTAGATTTTAATAAGTGTTATTTGAATTACAACTTTTTTTTTTTATTTAATCGATTTTATAATTAAAATTAATAAAATATAATGAAGTGCTCTTGCAATAATGATTTCATTATACAATTTTAAGATGACAAATTGTACATTTAAACTTGTATTTAAATTGTATCAAATATCCATAGGTAATAATTCACAAAATTTTATCCCAAAATATCAAGGATTGACTGAACCAATAAATGAAAGTAATGATGAAAATAATTAAATTTTATGCTTTATGCAATAATTTACTAATAAGAATCTTGATTAAAATTCTTTTAAATAGATTTTTGAGTTCAATACAAATAGTTAAAGTGTAAAACATTAAATAAATGGTAGCATTTTAAAATGTCAATTGATAATGACAATAATTTTAGAATAATGAGTCCTCAATAGCCTATTATTAATTAATGTCTCTGTGAACACGAATAAAAAAAACAGAAAAAATAAAAACAAAAAGTAAAATAACCACAACCTAAACCGACAATTGAAAAAACTCAAGAAAATTCAGATTCTAAAACATGTCAAAAATAATCGAGAGCTCATTCTTAAGTGAATGAGGATATTCGCATTTTTGAAGATAAAATTCGATCATATACATCTGACATAGATGAATCGAAAAAAAAAACATTAAATCTTCCACAAGAATGGATAAAAAGATTGGGAACTTAGAAAAAGAAGAAGTGAGAATGATAAAAATACACAATCTTAAAAACAAATCATTTTTAAATTTAAAATTACTTAATTTTTGAATTATGTATCAAATTCAATATATATAAATATTTCATACAAGATATATATAAAAATAAAAGATCAGTGCGATTATCAATTAAAGTTATCCAATAATGCCAATCTAGCCTGTATCTGATTTATAAGTAAATTATTTAATTTCTCTTCTTTTTCAACATTGATTTTTGTATTAGTTTCCTCCTCTAACTTTAAAGCTTCGTTATTTAACAATTTTATTTAATCTAAAGTCTTTTACACTCTGTCCTAAGAAGAAATTAGACTATCATCGAAAATGTTTCTCTAAATATTGTAATTTTGTTACCCATTATGCTGGTTATATTTCTTACACCTTTTTATGTATGTGAATACCCTCAGCTTAATCTTTTTTCTTGCATTAAGGTTATGGAATAGGAGACAATTTTTACACTTATTGATGCCTAACTTTTATTTTGATTTCTGGCTGTTTTTTTTCTTCTAGCTTTTCTTCTACCTAGAGTATTTTTTCTAGTTTTTTTATTAAATATTTATCTATTTATTATAATTGACTAACTTCAGAACTGGTTTTATTAGATTATTCATGTAAAGAAATAGGTTTAGATTTTGAGTTGAAAATGAATGCATCTGAAGGATCCTCATGAAAAGTCTTTATAATTGGCCTTGAATAAATCTCTTTAACAATTTCTGAATACTTTGATTATACCTATTTTCTAGCTTTTATTTGTTATCGTTTTGCAATTAATTTTAATTACTCCTCTTGCTATTCATGGAGTAATTTAATGTAAGTATTTGATTTCTAAAACTCTATTTATGGAACCGACTTTTTTTTATTTTATCTTTCCATTTCTCTAACAATTTTATTACCATCATATTGTTATTAATGTAATAAAATTGAACTGAAATTGATTGGTTAGCAGAGATGTTTTTTAGATGACATGATTTATTTATGAAGTTGCTCTTAAATTTATCTTAATTCATTATCTTTATTTTATATTGCAATTTGCTCTCTTCTAATTCTTTCTTTTATTAAGAGAATTTTCTTGTTTTCTTCCTGCAATTATTCTTTTCTACTATTTTCTAATTCTTCTAAAATTGATGATTTATTTAATCGCTGTTTCATAAATATAAATAATTTTATTATAAATTATCATAATTTCTATTTTCATTTTTTTAATAAAACACTTTATATCATTCTTTTTTCGAGCATATATTTATAGATTAATTCTTTCAGTATAGTTTTATCAACACATTTAAATAAATTTAAGTCTTTCACTTCAAAACCTTAAGCAGCAATATATGCTCCACGCGCACCAGACTTTCCTTTTTTATAAACAGACCTAAACTTAGTAATAAATTCAGCTTTTAATTATTTGTAATAATTCTGAACAATTACTATTTATAATTTTCTTTTAATTATTAATAAATATTTACCCATCCAAATATGGAGATTTCTTAACCTCCTCATCCACTTAAAAGTTAATGATGGTTTTATTCATTTGTTTTTTGATTTCCTTCACCTCTAAATAATTTAAATAAATATTTATACTTTCAATATCTTCCTTTTGTATCTAATTATACATAACTCCCCAATATTTATTCCATAACATGATTATTCTTTAAACATAAGCTCCAACTCTTTTTTTATAATTTCTGTATGAATCAATTACAGTTCTTATTAATCTTCGAAATCTATAAGTTTTTTGTATTATTTCTCCAATTTATCCATAACTTTTCATAAAAGAAAAACAAATAAATTCAGCTCTTGTTTTTACAGTTTTTTGATAGACTTAAGCAAAAACACAAAGACTTTGTAAAGTTTAAAATTTGGTCCTTTATTAAATAGTTTCACCATGTTTAGTAAGGTATTACTTTAAATTTAATCTTGTTCTATGTTTTTTCCTGATTATTGTGGCTTCATTCATCATATGATTTGCCATTTTCTATAATAATGATAATATAATTACTATATATTTTACTCGAATAAGTCTGCAAATTAGTATAGAATAGAGATTGGTTAGCCAATTTTTTTATTATTCTTTAATTGATTAATCTATCTGATCTCTAACATTCAAGATATCTTTAATAATCTTTTTTTTTTAAGAATGCTCATATCTCTCTTTAATTAGATCTTGCTTATCTTAATCTATAATTTATTTATTAACTAAAGTTTCTTAAAATCGTTTGGCTGATTAAACTCTTTTGATTTAAAGTTACTTTTTTTGATTTTCAGGTTCATATTGTCTTAAATTCATATTCATCAGTATTAAATCCTTTGATTATTTTCTAGATAAAGCACTACTTATTCTACCTGACATAAATGCAGTCATGGGTCTTTCTTTTTCTTCTTAATCTTGCTTTTATAACTTCTATATTTTCATTCCGTATTAAATCTTGGCATGAATAATAGATTATTGTTAACTAAATATAGCCATATACAAAAATGGAGTAGTAAAAATGTTATCCTCTCCTGGCTCTGTATATCTTAAGACTTATTTTCTTTGAAATGCTTCTTCAAAATTAAATCTATTTGGTGTTAAGGTGTGTCTTGAAATATAAAATTTCATTTTAGCTTAATTGGTAAATGTAAAATCTATGTTTTTAATGCAAATTAATACTAATGATTAATGGCTTTTTATGGCCTGCCAAAGGGACTTCAAAGTAATGGAACGTGCATAGTTGCAAATGTATAATATTTAATAATTTAGCATCTAATTAGGCTCTTAATTCTGTAATCACATAGCCTTATTACTTTTTTACAACTTCCGTTTAAAAATTATGTTCGAAATCCTTCTTAGAAGGTACTATCTATTTAAGTTTCCTGGCTTCCAATTAATTCAATAACTCATAATTTGAATGTATATTATTTTGTTATACAATCGAATTTTTAAACTCCATTGTTTTCATATTATTAATTATGGAATAAACTAAAAAAATTTCTCATAGGAGTAGCATGTTTTTGAAAGCTTGAATTCTAAAAATGCAAAGATTGGGTGGTGTAATCCATATAGAAGTTGGTTAAAGCAGAAATATCATGGATCATCCATCGCATCGTATGAATTGATCTATACTGAATAAAAAGATGATTATCATTTTAATTGATATTAAGAATTTTATACTATTTAGTAGTTATTTTATCACTTTAAAAGAACATGGATTGTCATTCTTTCTTTGAAGATAGTTAGATTGTTGAAGTTATATTTAGACAAGAGTTTTTTTATTTAAAAGAATTATTTTAGAAGAGCAAACATAAATTATAATATTAAAGTTAATATTTCTTTTTATCATTCTCATTTATCCCTTTTTGATTTCCAATCCAATAATGCTTTTAAATTTTTATCACTGTTTGCTACTAGCTTAATGTAATTATCTAAATTTATTGTTTGAATTCATACCCATAAATGCATTTGCCTTAGCTATACCATAAGTAACTCTTGCTCTATCAATTAATTTTCTGCTCTTTTATTCAGGTTTCTCTGACTTAGCACAATCAAAGTGCTGTTAAAAATATTCTAATGATTTGGCTGTGTTTCCTTTGCTCTAATATAATTTTGCCAAATGTAGTGCAGCATCGGATTATGAATTATATAATTTTTAATCTTTAGCTAAAGCATAATAACTTTCCAAATGCTTTTAAGCTTCATCTACATCACCTTTCTTTAAATAACATTAGGCTAATGATGAATGTGCCTCCATCTCCTTTTATTTTGAATCCTTATAAAATGATAATGAAATATACTTCTTTGTGTAACTATTTGACAATTTCCAAGAATTTGTGATGATATTATATACTCTTTTAGATATTCTACATTTTGAAATATAACCCACCAATTTTGTTGCATATCACTCCTTCTGACTCTAAGTCTCCTGCTTTTTATGCTGCTTCTCTGCATTTATCATAATATTTTAATGATTATGCAATTTGATCGTTATCCCCCTTCTCATATTCTTAGGCCATTCTGTTGTATATTTTGATTAATTCAGTTGACATTTATTCAACTACCGAATCCAAATTCTATAATTATTCGCATTATTTCATGCTTTCCTCCAAAATTTGTATTGCTTAATCTATCAATCCAACTTGGTAATGACATTTAGCATATCCTAACTTGCCCTTGCCTTCAGCTTTAGCTTCCTATAATCAATAACACTTTTACAGTATATTATCTTGATATTTATATTACTCTTTTGTAAAAATATGCTGCCACTATATAATCCTGATATTCAGTAAAAAAGAATTCAGCCAAATTTAAGTACTCGTTTAATGCCTAAGTTTTATCTGGGTACTAGTATTTAGAGTTTTCTTCAGCATTTTATAGTCTCTTTTTTAAATCTAACAAGAATTCTTCATCTTAATTAATATATTTTTGGTGAACTAATTTCTATGGAGAAAATACTTCTATGATTTGAAAAATGTTCCTCTAATGAAATTCCTGAAGGTTAATAAAATAATTTTGGGACGGTTTCATTAGTCACATAAAAAAAATCAGCATAGGATTGAACATATCCATTTTCTTGTTGAATAAAAATGAGAATTACATAATATTTCAGCAGCAATAGATTCCTTATTTATTTTCCCCTAAAATTCTATTCTTTCCTCTGATTAAGGATTTTATTATTGCTACAAATCTAATAAAATTAGTACTTTTTAAATTTTCTTTTAGGGATGCTTGTCAGTTGTGATTTGTTTTTAAACTTAAGCATCTGCTAATCCTTTTGCCTTGATAGGCATTTTTATTGGTTCAAATTTCTTCTCTTTTTATTGCATAAAATATAAAATTTAATGGATTTTAAAGTGATTTGAAAACTCCTCTCAATCAATTTTGCCAAACATTCAGGATTACATTTTTTAAGGTTTTTTAGGTTGAGAAGCTTATGGAGAAGTCCTTTTGGCATAAAAATAACAAGTAATCAATAAGAATCAATAAAAAGATCAAAAAAATTGTTAACAAGAGAATTCAATTCATTAAAATTACTTGAAATGATAATAATACTAAGCTGATAATAAAAGAGAAATACCTTTAGAAATTAAACATCTAATTATCCTCAACCTTTTAAATACCTGAAAATTATATGTTATAATAAATTTAGAAGGAATTATTTTTATGACTTATTAATAGTACAGAAAAGTAAAAATATTTGATATCATTCAAAACGTAAACTTTGAGACCTTAAAATTTCATCAAGCCTCAAGAATTGTAATATTGGATAATTAACATACCAAAAGAATTGCTCATAGAGTTGAAACATGAAAAGGTGATGTTATTTAGAGGAAAGTAAAATTTCTTTCACATTACAAATTAATCTTCAAAAATTTGAATGATTACATTTTATTTCATTTTTTATTATGAGTTATAATCAAAAAGATAAATTTTAATTAAACAAAAAGCAAAGTAACTTTTATATATATATCATAGAATGGTCAGTAATTGACTTTAGTACCTCTTTAGTAGTTGAAAATGGTACCTGCTGAATTATCACAGAAATATTAATAAATCAAATCCTCATTCTAATTATAAAAAGAATCATTCATTAATAGAGGTACTTTTTGTTGAATAGCAGAAAATGTAAAATCAGAAATGCTTGAAGAAGAAACCTGTTAACATACTAAGTTAATGAGCCATTGCCATCAAATATTTAAATATATTTACAATTGTTACTCAATTTAATAATAACACACATCACTTAGGATATTAAAAAATGAAAAATACTTAATTAAGAATACGAAAATTGTTAATTTGTTGGCTATTAATTTCATCCAAAAAATTGTATAAAGGAATTCCTTCTCTAGATAGGCAACAAATCAATATATGATCCTAAATCACATCCTTTTTCAAGGAATTTAATAAGATAAATTATTAAGCTTTAAGAACCATAAAAAAAGTTTTATCTGTTATATTAGCTGAAAATTCATCGACTCAGAACTTATAATATGGAGGAAAAAGAAAATCAAAACTTAAATTTTGTGGAGTAGTTCAATATAAAATCGAATGATTTATTTATAGACCATTAGATTTAGTATTAATAGAAGAAAAAAATTGGCGCTATTTGAACCAGTAACAAAAAAATGCACATTTACAATCATATCAGTAGAAGTGTATAGGATTTTATTTCAAAGAAGGGATACATGAAATTAACAATAAAACTAAGAAATTCTTAATTAAAAAATTTGAATATTCAATCCATTGGTTGTAGAGAAAGGCAGAAAAAAGCAAGAGAAAAACTATGAGTTTTTTACATTTGCATAATTATTAATAAGATTAATATTAAAAGAAGGATAAAACTAATCATTTTCATGATAAATTGATATAAATGAAAATCCTTTAAATTTCTAATCTAATTAGCATATTAGTGAATTTTATAATAATTTAAAGTATATAATTTATAACAAGTTTTTCATATGAGGAAAAAACCTTAAACTCATCTAATATAAAATAATTCATTGATAATTTTTAGTATTTTGATCTTTACTTTGTAGAGAGCACTGATAATAGTGAGTTGTTGATCTTCGACTTTCTTCTTCAATTCATGATTAAATTTTCCTTAAAGCACTCTCAATACAGTTAAAATATTGTTAAATAAAACATCATCAAATCGATATAACAAAACGTTTCTGTAATTCTATAGAGTCATTAAGCTTATTTTCTGTATATTTCATCATATGCATTAAGACAANTTAAACAAAAAGCAAAGTAACTTTTATATATATATCATAGAATGGTCAGTAATTGACTTTAGTACCTCTTTAGTAGTTGAAAATGGTACCTGCTGAATTATCACAGAAATATTAATAAATCAAATCCTCATTCTAATTATAAAAAGAATCATTCATTAATAGAGGTACTTTTTGTTGAATAGCAGAAAATGTAAAATCAGAAATGCTTGAAGAAGAAACCTGTTAACATACTAAGTTAATGAGCCATTGCCATCAAATATTTAAATATATTTACAATTGTTACTCAATTTAATAATAACACACATCACTTAGGATATTAAAAAATGAAAAATACTTAATTAAGAATACGAAAATTGTTAATTTGTTGGCTATTAATTTCATCCAAAAAATTGTATAAAGGAATTCCTTCTCTAGATAGGCAACAAATCAATATATGATCCTAAATCACATCCTTTTTCAAGGAATTTAATAAGATAAATTATTAAGCTTTAAGAACCATAAAAAAAGTTTTATCTGTTATATTAGCTGAAAATTCATCGACTCAGAACTTATAATATGGAGGAAAAAGAAAATCAAAACTTAAATTTTGTGGAGTAGTTCAATATAAAATCGAATGATTTATTTATAGACCATTAGATTTAGTATTAATAGAAGAAAAAAATTGGCGCTATTTGAACCAGTAACAAAAAAATGCACATTTACAATCATATCAGTAGAAGTGTATAGGATTTTATTTCAAAGAAGGGATACATGAAATTAACAATAAAACTAAGAAATTCTTAATTAAAAAATTTGAATATTCAATCCATTGGTTGTAGAGAAAGGCAGAAAAAAGCAAGAGAAAAACTATGAGTTTTTTACATTTGCATAATTATTAATAAGATTAATATTAAAAGAAGGATAAAACTAATCATTTTCATGATAAATTGATATAAATGAAAATCCTTTAAATTTCTAATCTAATTAGCATATTAGTGAATTTTATAATAATTTAAAGTATATAATTTATAACAAGTTTTTCATATGAGGAAAAAACCTTAAACTCATCTAATATAAAATAATTCATTGATAATTTTTAGTATTTTGATCTTTACTTTGTAGAGAGCACTGATAATAGTGAGTTGTTGATCTTCGACTTTCTTCTTCAATTCATGATTAAATTTTCCTTAAAGCACTCTCAATACAGTTAAAATATTGTTAAATAAAACATCATCAAATCGATATAACAAAACGTTTCTGTAATTCTATAGAGTCATTAAGCTTATTTTCTGTATATTTCATCATATGCATTAAGACAATCTAAAAAATCCTTAATAATCATATTTACATAATATGCTCGAATTATTAAATAAAGTTACTTTTATAGTTTGTTATAATGTCATTGCTATCAAGAGTAGGCATATGAAATGGAATTGGATTTAGAATAAATCTTTAAATAGCTATCTGGATTTCGTAATTTACAACACCATAAGCAATCTAACATTTGGTACTAATGAAACAATTTCCAAACTCTTATGTCTGAAAATTGATGTTTTATACAGTCAATAATTTCCATGTTAATGGATAGTCATAATCGAATGGTGCATTAAATAATTTATTATGGATTTAATTTAGTTATCATCGATGATATTAAATACACTCTTATATGCAACACTGTATATGATGAGCAAATATATCTATAGAATCCAGAAACAGAGTAAAAGATTTATATTAGCAAGAATTGTCGACAAATAATAAATAATTAGCTAAAGCATTCCGATATCAAAGAAGGAAAATAAAAATTATAATTATGGGTTTGCCAACATTACTATGTTTTGCTTAAAATTATTACAATTTATGTCTGAGATACACATAGTCAGAAAAATTGAATATTTTTGAGTGTTTAAAATAATTTGATACTGAAAAAATAGGGATGGGAATATTGACTTCATTTTATATGACACTATTATTATATATTGGCCCAGTGTATTAAGAATTTTGGGTAATGAATATCATTTTTATTCAGAATGGCAACTTAAGGGAGAAATTTAGTAAAATTAAATTCAACAAATTCAGGTGGGATTATTTTACAAAGATTGTTATCGTATTTTTTCTATAAGCTTCAATAGACTCCATTAATAGATGAAATTATTTTTAGAGAATTAGTAAATAATGCTATAAATGTTAGATATTAAAATAACATAGAGTTTATTATTTATTCAACATTTTTATATAGTTCAAGTAATAAGCTATAATATTTGATTAGCAAAATCATTGTCTTATTAATTAAAGTACGGATAACTATCCCGTTATGAATTCCTTAAAACATTTGTTTTGGGATTGTACTTATCTTTTGTCTTAGTGTAGACAAAAACAATTGCAACAGTAATAATCAATCATGGACTTATGAATTTTATGGGAACGCCTAATTTTTAGGATTTAGTTAAAGGAAAGTATAGCAATTAATAAAGATAAAGTATAATAGAATTCACTATTTTAAGAGATGATACGGTTTTATGTCCTCGGTTTCGTCGCTTTTCTAATTTTTTGTGTCTTAGTTTTGTGATTTTATTTATTAATGGATTAATATAAAATAGTGAAGCGATTGGGAGATGGAACTTATGGGTGTGTCTACAAAGCAACAAATATCAATACAGGTCAGACAGTTGCTATTAAAAAGTTCAAAAAAAAATATACGTCTTGGGATGAATGTGTAAACCTTCGAGAAGTAAAAGCATTATAAAAATTGAAACATCCTAATATCATTAAACTAGTTGAAGTATTTAAGGAGAAAGATGAGTTGAATTTGGTTTTCGAATACTTAGATAAGGATATTTATCAACAATATTTAGAAAATCAAAATAATGGCAAACATTTATCAGAAGATAAGATTAGGTCTGTAATAAAATAAGTAACTGAAGGTTTGGCCTATATGCATAAAGTAGGATATTTTCATAGGTAATTAATACAAGTATTGTAGAGATTTAAAACCAGAAAATCTATTAGTATCAGGTGAAACAGTTAAAATTTGTGATTTTGGATTAGCAAGAGAAATAAGATCTAAACCACCATATACTGATTATGTTGCTACAAGGTGATTTATATTTAAATTTTTTAGATGGTACAGAGCACCAGAAATATTACTAAAATCTCCAAATTATAATTCTCCAGTTGATATATTTGCACTTGGATGTATAATGGCTGAATTGTATACCCTCAAACCTTTATTTAATGGCAGTTCAGAATTGGATTAGCTTTTTAAACTTTGTTAGACTTTAGGCACACCAAATATTCGAGATGTACACTATTTAACATGAATATTTATAGTGGCCTGAATCATAAAAATTAGCTAATGCAGCCAACATCACATTCCCTACATATAGCCCTGTATAGTTAGAAAAAGTCATCCCAAATGCGTCACCTGAAGCGCTTGAGTTGATAAGAGACATGTTAAAGTATGATCCATAGAAAAGACCTTCTGCTAAATAGATTTTAGAATATCCTTATTTTACTAATCATTGTTTTCCTATGATCCAATAAATTGAGAATAAATAGGAATTTCCTAAAATTGACAGAATAGAAAGACATGAAAAACATGAAGATATATTTGAATTACCTAAAGTGAATAACAAAGAAAATAGAAACAAAATGAATGAATCTAATTCAAACTTTTTAGACCTCTTGGAATAAAAGATGGCTGAATATGATAGACCAGCAAAAAAAGAACTCTCAATACATAAGAGTAGTGTGAAAGAATCTAAAGAATTTTAACCATACAAAGACTATAGGGAATAGAATTTACCTATGATCCAAAATAATTTACCGAAAGATTACTTAATTTCAAAAGACCATAATTAGAATGATTCCTTAGACCCTAGAATTGATTCTAGAAATAAAAAGGGTTAGGCAGGATTAAAGTTCTTAAGGCACAATGATCCAATTGGTGAACAACTAAGAAATTAATAATAATTGAGTATACAGCAATCAAGATCCTATGAACCAACCAAGAGAAATATTTATGATTTTAATCTCTTACAAATGCCTATTGCTAAACCTGCATTTCAACCTAAATTAGAAATGCCAAAATAGAATAAAAATTAGATGCTTGGATAAAATTATCCCAAATCGTTGCCAATTGCTCCAAATATGGGATATAAGTATCAACAACAATAATAATAATAACAATATAAATTTGATGATATCTTATATGGTAAGCCTCCTCTTAAATAGTATTATTGATACTTAAAAAATCTACATCTATATATATATACAACATAATTATTCAAACGTGTATAAAATATCTTCCTATTGCAGTTAAAAACCTCTATTTATAGTCATGTGGATTGATAATTGTTGGGACCTTAAAAAATGAAAATTATATTACTTTTCCACCTTTGAGTACAAATTTTAGGAGTCTTTCAGTTTCTTTATCCCATGTGTAAAATCTTAAATAATCTATGATTCCCATCTTTATTTTTTTCTACTTGTTGTTGATGATCAATAAAAGTGAATAATCGACAATTTATTTCCTTAACAAAAATTTACAATCGCTCTATTCATTTAGTTAATCATTTTACCTAAAATGCTTTATCGTTATAAATATAGCATTCATTTTATATAAGAATTGGTTCTGCATTTCTATCTATGATAAAATTTGTATCCAATAATACTTTATTCACTTTCTTCTCCCATCGATTTGTTTCGCTTCCCTTTAAATCATAAACTAACAAATCCTTCTAATTACCTATACCATAGTATAAATTCTCCATAATTAAATAGAACTCAGGACTACCTTTGTCTCGTATCTCATACATTCCAAATATTTTACAAAGTAATGAAGGTTTTTAGGATTCATAGAAATGTCTATGCATTTGTCTAAAGTAATCTAATGCAAATTATTCAAACATTCTAAATTCCTTTTCATCATCAAATTTCTTTACAACAAATAATTCATTATCAGATTTGAAGAATTTAGATGATGACTTACCACCACTTGCATTCCAAGATCCTGTTACACTTAATGATTTTATAAACAAATTTAATGTGATTCCAAAGGAGGCTCTTAAAGCTTCAAATTAAGTAGGGAAGTAGATCAATATTTCCTAAGTTTTTGATTTTTTAACTGAAAATTATTAATTTCCTAAACCACTTGCAATTGATTATTATGATGATATTGTTTTGTCCTCATCTTAAAATTAATCTCTACTCATTGATGGTTTCATACCCTTTACCTTATCATATTATAAAGTAATTGTGATGTAGTTCTTTTCCTTTTTTTAAGGTATAGATTACTGTTAATTTGCATTCAAATTAGTATCAGTTGTTGTTGCTTAGGATTCTCTTGGAAGGCTTTAATCTTCTTATTCCCATTTCCCTGATTATTACCCAGACTTAATCAACATTAGTTTACTTAAAACAATTTTTTATTATTCCTAATCTGCCTTTGAAAAATCTAACTAAAATTATACTCATACTTTCATAATAATTTATTGCTTTCAGATAATTTGGATGATTTAAAGCAAAGGCTAAGGAAGATAAAGGCTGACTTTCAAAAATGGCAACAAAAGGAATTATTTTTCTATCACATAATGCCACTTTATTCTATTCCTCTAAAAATAGACACAAAGGCCATTCTTTTAAAAAATTGCTAAAAGGATTTTATTGTTTATCAATTATGAAAGAATGATTATCTAAAT